CCTTTGTCTTCAATATTTTATCATTTTGGAAGCTTGTCTTGCATTGTACACATAGGGTCTTTCAGCATCTGAACTGAGAATCCAGTGAGTAATTTCTGTCTTCCTTGTATGTGGTATGCTTTGTTTGTAGAAGCTGCATGGCATTAGAGTGTTTTAAGTTAAAGTGGTGTATTTTTATTTTTGTTGGGGTATTTGAAGTGAATAAGCTGACATTGTTTCGCCCTGGTCGTTTCTTTTCTTTAGGCTGGCCTTACAGGTCCTCTGCAGAAGGAAGAGTTGCAGTTGGGAGTGGATACTGCTAATAGGGCAGCACAACAGTACCAGCAAAGTAAGGATCAGCAGAAATTATTGCAGCAAAGTGACAGTGGATGTGGTCAAAAGAATGAGACAGCACAGTCTATGTGAGGATATGTGAAGTCTCAGACCATTACTAATATTCTTACAGCACTTCACTGGCTGCCCTAATTGTAGTGTCTTTTATCTAGCTCTTACAATGTGGCTGGAGATAACAGCATATAATTTGAATTAGGAAACATGGAGTTTTTGCATCCGCCTTAAATAACCTCTTTTTATAGGATACTTTTATAAATTTTGTGCTGTGGATCTGTGAAGAAAATCTGTATTGCTCCAAGAAGTGTGAAAGCTAGGTTATCTGCTGACCATTCACATAAATCTTACTTGTTTTTGATACAGAACCTTTCACTGTTTCTGAGTATTAGGTCACAAGTGAAGTGCAGATCATGATGGCTGATGTTTTTTTGACTGATGCTTCTGAGACCGTGGAGAGCTCTGGCTGTGCAGGAGCAATTTGTGATAGATAGAAGGAGGCTACGAGAGATTTGAGGAGACTAGTGAATGCCAAATGAAGCAGGCGACTAGAAGAAGTACCTGGCTTGTTCAGGATGGAAGTCTGTGTTGGTTTTAAAATCAGGCAGCATGGAGCCACTCTGGAGTGCCTGTGACTGAGCAGGGGAGATGTAGACAGGAAGTGAACGTCAGTACGACTTACCCATCCAGAAATTTGCCGTGAGGCTTCTTATTGTCAGAATACTGAAATGCTAAAATGTTAATTACCAGACAGAAAGGTGAACTAGTCCTAAACATGAGCGTTGTGTATTTTGGTTGTCTTCAGTCGCTAAAAACTAGCAGGGGATGTATGGATGAGAAAGCCTGACCCTTTCCCTGCAGCTGGGGTATTTTTCTGTCTAATTAAGTGTCTAAGTAGAAGAAAAATAAATATATTTATAATATATTTTAAAATATCTATAATTATATAATATATAAAAACAAAA